ATTTTTTTATTTCGATGGTTCCATTGTCTCCCACCGAATGATGTCGTAACTGCAATTGCTCGTCTCGAAATCCGATTCACCAACGAACATTTTACGAGCGAGAGCATATCGAGTTTGAATGGAAAAATGGGTCGAGTTGACGTTGCAGTGTTGGGACTGTTTTAGGGGACGAAATAGGCGCCTCGTGGTTTTGAACCGGCCGATAAAACACTCCTGCTCGTTTATAAAACAGTATATAGCACTTTTCATAAGTGTCGTTCTTTTATTGCATGAGCGCGTAAATTTACATATATAACGAAGGGATTTATCTTAATCCGACRAAGGACTAGCGTCCGAWACGTCAGTAAGTTTTTTCCTCTTTTCACGGTGAAAAATTTACCCTTTTAGTACTGATTTATYTTTTGAATGCCGAATGAATTTTTGGTTGTCCGTTAGTGAATGGCGTAAATCATCGAATTCTTAATCATTGAGAGAAAGAACCAGACTGAAGTCATAAGGAGCCAAGTGACTGACAAGGGATGCTCGCCTCTCACCAATGCGACCCGGGTTCCATTCTCGGACTCATCGTATGTGAGGAGAGTTGTTTGTTTGTTCTCTCCTGTGCTTCAAAGGTTTTTCTCCGCGGCTTCCCCGGTTTTCCTTCCTCTGCAAAAGCCAACTACTAAATTGTAACTCGATCTAGAATTACTTTGTGTAATTTTTATCTAGGCCATTGCTAGACACACGGCTCCTTACCGACACAAGGCTCCTTACCGTTGTCACACAGCTCCTTACCGACAGAAGTCTTCTTGCCGACAGACGTCTCCTTACCGGCAGAAGTCTTCTTGCCGACAGACGTCTTCTTACCGACACACCGCTCCTTACCGTTTTCACGAGTCTCCTTACCGACAGACGTCTTCTTGCCGACTTGCGGCTCTTTGCCATCCCACGGCTCCTTTTGGTAACACGGCTCTTTGATGACCCTTCAATGTCGGCACAGCCCTTTGCCTACATATTTCTGCAAGATAATTGTGCAAGATAATTGTCTTGACGGACTTTTTCCAACTAGACAAGGAGACTTCTTACTTTTTCTCAYTTACACGAGGAATTAAAAACTTGTCAATTAAAAACTTGTCCCTTCAATCAAATATACCCAAGTAAAAAGGGTAGAAAAGATCCGGAAAGATTTAAGGCGCGATTATACACAGGACAACTTTCTCTGCAATTTGTGCCGCAACGCGTTGTTGCAAGATCGCTTACACGATGGAACGGAGACGCAATCGTTGCCTAACGTAGAAATGAATTATACTTTTGAGAACAATTGCTGCAACTTGTCTCGTAACATTATTTCAAATTGCTATTTAGGTTTAGTAATTCAATGYCGTAGCGATTCAAGTTGCACAAAAAAATGCTAGGTGTATTCGCTTCTTTARTCTTTAGACACGCTTAAGCASGTGACTGATTCACTACTTATAATAACATATACAAATAGCACATAGTGTCGGATAGCCAATGTTAACAGACGGGAATTTCTATATTTGGTCCYTACTCTTAAACCATAATTGTGAATATATTTTTCCAAAAATAAAGGAAAAGGYTTTGTGAATGTATGAGACTGTGACTTATGTTAATCAACTAACAGTTGGAAGTTGAGAAATTGAGAGTTTCAATTAAATTTTATATCAAATAGTTAATCTTAGTTAGGAGGAGTAGATTCAAGTTAGGAAGAAAAGGATTTTGTTMATTCTTATTTTGTTTTTTAGTCACAATGAGAAAAGAAAATAAGCTGTTGTGTTAAAAATTGGGCAAAAATTTGGAACGCTTCACGAATTTGCGTGTCATCCTTGCGCAGGGGCCATGCTAATCTTCTCTGTATCGTTCCAATTTTAGTATATGTGCTGCTGTTAAGCGAGCACAACCTATAACTTATGGTTATTCTATTTGTATGAGGAAACAAGCTACCATCCAAGCGTGTGGGATTCGAGTAGGATAAAACAATGGCTTTGTTGTGAAGTGTGATCATCCGTGTGAGTGTAGGAATAATGGGTTTGTTACGCATGCGCAATGAACGTATAAAGTCAGACAACGGTCTTTGATAACGGTTTGTCTGACCCCMCTTTGATACAGGAGTTGTTCTTGACCGCCAATTTCAAGGCATGGTGAACTTCGCTTTTCTACAATTGACCTTTATCCAAAATTATGGCCACGAATTCAAATAAGTTAAAATTTTAACACCTATGCYAGCACAAGAAAGAGCATTTTTACTTGAGCCATTCTACAAAGATTCAATATCTGGGGTGTTATATATGGCCGAGAAAACTTAAGTTGAAAATTCAGTTCACGACTTTATAGACGTTTGTATGAGTCGGGGTATACGACATACCTCCAATGATACAAATGTTTGTAAAACACCGGAGATAATTGATCTCAGTAGAATTACTAAAGTAAAGGTGCTCTTTCTAGTGCGGCATAGTATTTGTTTTTAAATCAGTCCAATTTTGTCTCATTTGAGYTTGCGACCTACATTTTGGCAAAGGATCTATGGAAATAAGGTCCCAGTACTTTTGCGTACCTTTCAAGATGGCGGCCAAGGGAAACTTCAACACGACCTCACGTCTACATTAACGAAATCCTTTCCTTCGTAATTCTAATTCCTCCTAACTAGGGTTAACTATGAGAAAATAAAATTTATTTGAAAYTGTCAACTTCTCAACTTCCAACTTTTAGTTGATTCACACGAGACACATTCTCATATTTGTGGCAAAMATTTTGGAAAATTGTCTTGTGAGAAGTGAATTTCATCACGCATTGTCGTTGAAGCACAAATCATCCATCAACATGAGGTCAGGCATACCGTTATCAACGACCGTTGTATGAAGTTATACGTTCACTACGCATGCGTAACAAACCCATTATTTTTACACTCACACGGATGATCGCACTTCGCAACAAAGCCATTGTTCTATCCTACTTGAATCCCACATGCTTGGATGGTAGCTTGTTTCCTCATACATATAGAATAGCCATRAGTTATAGGTTGTGCTCGCTTAACARCAGCACATATACTAAAATTGGAACGATACAGAGAAGATTAGCATGGCCCCTGCGCAAGGATGACACGCAAATTCGTGAAGCGTTCCAAATTTTTTGCCCAATTTTTAACACAACRACTTATTTYCTTTTTTCATTTTGACTAAAAACAAAATAAGAATTAACAAAATCCTTTTCTTCGTAACTTAACTCTAACTCCTCCTAACTAGGATTAACTATGTGCTGTTTGCATATGTTTTTAAAGTATAGTAAGTCAGTCACGTAGTTAAGCGTGTCTAAAGACTAAAGACGCGAATACACGGAGCAATGTTTCTTTGCAACTCGTATCGCAACGGCGTCGCTACAMAAGTCGTAGGTAGAGTTGCATGCAGCGTGTAACTTACAGCAAAACAAGCTGCTAGACAAGTTGCAGCAATTGTTCCCAAAAGTATARTTCGTTTYTACTTTTGGCAATTACGTCTCCGTTGCACCGCGTAAACAATCTTGCAACGCATTGACACAAGTCGCAGAGAAAGATGTCCCGTTTAATCGCGACTTAAATCTTTACAGATCTTTTTCTTCCGTTTTTACTTGCATTAAGCCATATTTGATAAGCCTGTTCATACTTTAAGAATAATTTCCAGTGCGCATGCAATTCTATCACGATTCCTCACCTTCTTTTGTTTAAACCTTCTTTTGTCGTTAATTAAACAAAAGAAAGTGAGAAATTCGGGATAAAATCGTATGCGCACTGGAAACGAATCTTAAAGTTTGAACTGGCTTATTGAAGAGACAAGTTTTTAATTCCTCGAGTAAATGAGAAAAAGTAGGAAGTCTCCTTGTCTAGTTGGTTTTGGCAAGTAAACCATATATAACCATCGAAATAAAAGAATAAAAGAAAGGAAGAAAGAGAGACGGGATTGGTTCGCAAGGAGAGATTCGACTGTATATATAGTTCATGGAATATCTGTTTCCGTAGTGTAGTGGTTATCACGTGTGCCTAACACGCACAAGGTCCTGGGTTCGAGCCCCAGCGGAAACATTTTGTTTCACGGTTCTCTAAATGACTTTGTAATATCCCTGTTTGGTCATTTTGGGATGATTTTTTGGAACTAATCCAAATGTAACTCCTAGCAAAACCAAATTTGCAATACAAAGGGTTCGCAAATTCCAAACGTATTTCTTCAAGCCATAACGAAAGGATCAAAATTTTCCGTTTTAAGATTTTAGCTTCCCAGAATAATTTTTTATTTGTGAAAAAAAATTATTAGGGAATATTACAGAATAACGGTTTTAAATCTCGCGTTCTGAATGGTTGGGAGAGCGTGCTTTATGAGAGCACACAGCAAGCAAGCGCACTTTCAGTTTCGTCATTCTTGCAATTTTTATTTTATAAATGTAATTAAAAATTTGCTTGCTGTGCTGTGTGAAGTCATAAAGCACTTGGGGATTGCAAAAACATTCGAGAAGTGTCGAGAAGCACTGCGCTACTCCGCTAACACTTCTCTCGTGTTCTGCCAATTCCCGCGTTCTTCAAAACTGCACACAGCATTTAAAACATATGAAGTATATTTTGATATCGTGTTAACGGTATTTCGTGGCGAAATGTTTCCGCTGGGGTTCGAACCCAGGATTTTGCGCGTGTGAAACGCACGTGATAACCACTATACAACGGAAACTTGAGATTTAAGATATTTGATTTTGAAGATCACTTGTGGACTAAATTACCACTTTTTAACGTTTAATATACTAAAAGTGAGTTACTATTTAAAGTGGAATGTGCAATGGGCTATATAAGAACTCACCATTATTGATTGACATGTTTTTATAATTTTTTTCTACTGACGATGAAAGTCAAGGATGCGACGAAGACACAAGGTCTTGAATGTGACGATAGTAGACAGTGACTTTAAAAGGGGACAGTAATAAAAGAATTAACATTGACACCACATTTATGAGTGAATACAAAGATGTTGCACACCATGGTTCATTTTCTTTTCTTTAATGTGTGTGTTTTTTTGTGTGCATACATAGGATTTAGATCGTGTAAATAGTAATACAGTACGTATAAATATAATTTAATAATCATAAATATATATAATAATGTATATATACAGTAGATACCTATCGATATTGTAATCTTTATATTTTAGTCTTCTTTTCCACACATTATTCTTTGTAATTTCAGATATAAATAATAATAAATAATAAATTACATTTATAAAGCGCAGATTAGCACAAGATGTTCATCTGCGCTGAATACAGAAACAATACACAATAACTAGAAACATAAAAGCTAAGTTAATCAATGGGAATTGCAAAAACAACTAAATAAAGGCTTTTCTATAAAAATATGTCTTTAAGTGTTCTTTAAAAGAAGGTAATGATGTATTATGCCTAATACTAGATGGTAAAGTGTTCCATTCTACTGGCGCAGCGTATGAAAAAGTCCTACCACCAAGAGTAGGTCGAGGTTTAGTCGGTGGAGGTGCTAATAAAAGCTCATTATTGGACCTAAGATTATAACCAGACTGCTTTTTGATAGAAATTAAATCAGATAAGTAACTAGGAGCGAGACCATGAATAGCCTTAAAAGCGATAATAAGTATCATAAAACGTATTCTAAATCTCACTAGATATTGGTGTTACCTAGCTCGTTTAGCTTTATAGTTATTCTAGGTAACCTCTACCTCCACAAGGGCGGATCCAGGGGGAGGGTCGGGGGGGTCGCGACCCCCCTGTCATTCCTGAGGTCAAATGGGCTTCCTGTGGTAAAAATGCGACTGGGATTCCTTTGTCCACAACATTTACCACTGAGACCCCCCCTTCAAAAAAACCCTGGATCCACCCTTGCACCATTCTTTTGACAATGTACTTATATCTTTATTTTTCTCTRTTGTAATCTCTGGTATAAATAAAACACATTGTATTGTGTGGTATTGTATTGTATTGTATGGTGCACAGAACTCAGCCCCCTTCCTTGACAGAAAACTGATCCTGAAGATACGATACGCAGCACGCTCGCACGTTTTCTATTTCTTCAGTGTTTTGATATTGTATTAACGGTATTTTTGGGCAAAATGTTTCCGCTGGGGTTCGAACCCAGGACCTTGTGCGTGTGAAGCACACGTGATAACCACTACACTACGGAAACTTTATTTTCAAATGCTTTCTTTTCAAAGGTAACTTGTGGACTAAATTATTACTTTTTGACAATTAATGCACAAAAAATATGTTGACCAATACCATCTTTACTTACTTTTTTTTATATAGGTGTTTCATTGATTCATTGGTCATTAGCACCCCATTTATTGGGGTAGTCTCCGAGGCCCTATACGATATGTACTTGCACATAGCCAACTGTTTCTGTCAAGGGTTCTTCATATATAATAAAACATTCATATCCTGATAAAAAAAAAACAAAAACAAAACAACGATCAGCTGAAAATAAGAACTGCTGCATGCATAAAACGGTGATCCGCAATATAAAATCTATGAAAATCTAAATAAAATCTATATTAAAATCATTGATTAAAGAATCTAAAAGTATAAATATAAGAAAGGAGAAAATTAGTTTAGTAAATCGTACGATCTAGGGTTGCAAGCATTCCCAAGACAGTAAAAAGACAAAAACATGGCTACCATTGTGGTACCGTTAACAATGGATGCTAATGAGAAATCTTTTGTTAAATGGTACCAACAAGGCCGCGATGACGTAACGTGCAAACAAAGAATTGTCGCTTACGGGAGTGGACGCAACAAAATCTTCGCTTGTAGAAAATTCACTGAGATCTGTTTCCGTAGTGTAGTGGTTATCACGTGTGCCTAACACGCACAAGGTCCTGGGTTCGAGCCCCAGCGGAAACAATTTTTGTTTCACAGTTCTCTGATCGACTTTGTAATATACCCTTTTTACTCCATTTGGTGATTTTGAGATGATGGAATGACTATCCAAAAGCAACTTCTAGCAAATCCAAATTTGAAATGCAAGCATTTCTTCAAACCATAACAAAAAGTCAAAATTTTTCCGTCTTAAGAATTTAGCTACCCAGCATAATTTTTGTATTCCTAAAATATTAAAAAATATCATAAAATGAAATGGATGCGTGCTTTATGAGACACACAGCTAACACTTCTCTCGTGTTCTGCCTGTTTCCGCGTTCTTCATATCTGCACACAGCACGCGCGCGCGTTTTCTATTTCCTCAGTATTTTGATATCGTATTAACGATATCTCTAGTCAAATTTGTGACACGCACGTGATAACCACTACACTACGAAAACTTGAGATTTAAGCTCTTTGATTTTGAAGATAACTTCTGGACTATATTACCACGTTTTGACAATTAATGTTCATATGTTGACCAATTCCTTTTATACTTACTTTTTTGTAGACACTCTATATAAGTGCTTCATTAATTCATTGCTCATTGGATCATGGAACCCCAGTTATTGGGGACGTCTCCAAGTCCCTGTGCGAATATACTTCCCCATAGCCACCTGTTTCTGTCCCGGTGCTGACCAATAGCAACGCAGGCTCAGGGGACGAGATAACCAACGCCTACATTTAACAACATTACACGAAGTTCGATTTTCAGAAATAAAAATCCAAAAAATGTCAACCTCCGTGGCGCAATGGATTAGCGCGTTGGACTTCTAATTCAAAGGTTGTGGGTTCGAGTCCCACCGGAGGTAAATATTTTCTTTTTTTCCACTACAATTTAAAGTTTATCAGCTTGACTTATTAATTAAGCTAGACCGCAGCTGGTCCGTCTGTACACAAAGTGTGTTTGTTGTTTGAAGCGAGCAATCCTAGTACAAAATGCTTTGTCGATTCGTATACAAATCTGAAAGGTCCAGCATATCCTCATTGCTCCGCAGCGGGCTCCGCAGGCAAGTCTTTGGGCTTTCCAACTCTTTTCCAAATTTTATCTATGCAATAGACTCAAAATATAAGATATAAATAATGAAACAGACACCATCTTAGTTGATCTAACAAGAGAATCTAATGAGGGAGGTGAGGGATGCTTTTTTATTGTCAACCACCATGGCGGTTATGACGTAACAACCCAAGAATAATATGCTTCCCTATCGATATTGCTTTGAGATCAAATTTGTGCCCATTATAGTATCTATCATTTACAGTATATTTAATGAGGGAAATAGTAGCATGAAGGGAAATTGGAGAGGCCCCCAAAGATATTGCTATTTAGTAAAAATACACAGGTAATTATTGAAAATCTCGCGCGCTGATTGGTCGAGAAACTCACACTATCACACGATAATCACCTCCAGCGATAATCCAAAATGGCGGCCAGCCGCTTTGTTGCTGTTACCGGAGAGGAATTAGAAATAGTGAAAGAGAATGCTGTCCCCAAAAGGACTAAAGAGGCTAACAAATTTGCACTAACTTTGTTGAAAGGTAAAAAAGGACTTAAAACAATCAAATAAGCTCAAACAAACAGTTTTGATCGCAAAGTCGTAGTTCGTCTGTGTTGCCAGTAATTGAAAGCCGCGTTTGTCACTTCAATTAAATTTTTTTCTAATTTCAAATGTGTCTTTAATCTTCTTTTTTTCTTCTTCTTGTTTTTAAATAATCACCTGCATATTTATACTAAAACAATTATTTGCCTCAGCCTAAAAATTCGCGATTTGGTAACTTTTAGAGCGTTAAATGCGAATTTTTGAGAATCAGTATTTTCTGGCATCTCTTATGGTGTCGGAAAAGGATATGGCTTATCCTAGACGCTTTTTATACAAAATTTCATATTATTTGTTGTGGTATCTCTTAGGGGTTAAAAATCATTCAGCCACGCCCTTTTTTAAAGACTTCCGGCATCTTTTAGGGGTTTCTTTTTGAAAATTTCCGATGAGCATCCCTGGTACTTTTTTCCAGGAGTCCCCCCCCCCCCCCCCCCCCCCCCCCCCCCCCCCCCCCCCCCCCCCCCCCCCCCCCCCCACACCCAATATACCCCAACCCCCCCACCCCCCCCCCCCCCCCCCCCCCCACGGGCTCGAAGACTCGCGTCTCGGAAAATATTCCCCGATATGGGTTTCCTGTGGCTTTGGTTTTAACGCCTGCTTGTTTATGCATCAGAGATGAAAACGAAGGAAACGAAAGAAAAACAAGATTGATGTGGCTTTTTTATTTTAGTTTTCTCGATTGGTAGTAAAGTTTTTTAAATAATACGCAAATATATAGCAAGACATTAGCCAAAAATCCTTTAGAATAAGGTTTTATTGCCCAAGAAATCCAAGATGTACAAGAGACTGCCTCAACGTGGTGACTCTCCTTACAACAAATCAATGAAGATTTTCAGCAGAACTGGTTTAATTACACCATCCAGCATCCTTCTATCACTAGTTTTTTGGACACTTTTTGTGATAGTTGTGTACTTTTCGTATTCATGGTACAAAAGTGCGTCACTGCGTCACAACACGAGTGTGAAGCCTACTTTAATGCCTTCAGTCAAAACGTCCACTACAAGTTCCATTTTATGATATGCAAGAAATTTTAAACAAGAAAAAGAGACTGATGTTGTTTAAAGGGTTACAAGACGGTCTTTATATCATGTCTATGGCACAAAAAGAATAAAAGCTCGAACGGCCTCGGCTGTGTAAAGGACAGAGAGGAAGGAAGCTATTGGAATCTTGCAGGCATTCGTTCGTCGTCTCTTAGGAACCGTCTTATCTGGGGACCTCAAAATAAGAATCTTTTACCAGTATATTGAAATTTTAAACCAAGTTAAGGGTGGCTTTTATCGTACGCCTAGCTCATAATGGAGGAAAAAAGTTAAAAGACTAACATACTCAGCTCTTCAAAAAAGAAAATAAACACAAACCTTCAAGATTATATTGATATACACTATTAAGTATACCTTTTGCTGTTCATTAACCGCAAATGAATATTCATTGAAGTGAAGAAGCATTGTCATTAGAGCGAACAGGCATACAATAAGGCGAACGGAGTCTCAATAGTGCGATGGAACTTTCATTAAGAAAATTAGCATTGAATTTGACAATCATGAATATGTTTGCGTGGGTTGATTAACGTTTTCAAACTTTCATTAGCGTTTTGGTGCAGACAATAAACCACAACACACATTCAATACAGCGTTTTGGACATTTATTTACACAATCCAATAATGAACAGCAAAAAGTGTAAAAGGCTACTTGATCTTGTATGTACAATCTTACAATGATAATCAACAACCAAACAAAACAAGGCAAAAATAATTTTAATAATTAAGTGTTCTTAGAAAGACAAAATGATTTTGTGCCAAAGAACCAAATCAAAAATAAAATGGCTCAAGCCAAATGTTACAGAGTTGCTTTTTATCAATACCTTTCCATAACCTTATTTAAATGGGTATACTTATAGAATACAATTCTTCGATTGCACGTTACGTCATTGCGGCCTCTCGAGGGAGCGTTGGTGCCATTAAACAAAAGATTTCTTATTAGCATCCATTGTTAACGGCACCACAATGGCCGCCATGCTTTTGTCTTTTAAATCCCTTGCGAATGCTTGCAACCCATCAATACTCCGCAAATCCAATATGCACATACTTAATGACCATGAAATCTATTGTTGTATGAGTCCTTCTTCAAAGAGTTCTGACAACTGCATATTATTTGCAGGGTATTCTATAATTGTCAAGTCTGCCTATATATTTTTCGAATTGTTTTTTTATTTAAACATATAAATTTTTCAAGTTTACTCCAAGCGCTCTCATTCGAGCTCATCTACAGAGTTTACTTAATAAAAGATTTACACATTTGGATGTGGAGTACAAACACACACACAAAAAAAAGGAAAAAAAAAGAAAAAAAAATTAACAAAAAAAARAGAAGGAAACTACTACTAGAATTGAGCCTTGATTCTAGATCTGATTGACCACAATTCTTTATTTAATATATCACCATACCTTTGAAAATTCCACACATCAGAATACAATATTGTATATTCCTAAAGRATCCTCAAGGAAAACCCTTTCGACAAGTAAAATTATATTAATTTAATTCAATTAAATTATCAAGTTATTTTACTTCACTTGGGAAACAAAAGTGTATTATTTAGTGACTCTCAGGAATTCATTACCTCCAGAAATAAGACAGTGTTATTCTCTTTCCTCTTTTAAAATTCATATAAAAACAATGCTCTTTAAGGATGCCTTTTTATGAAAATGAGTATTGGCAGGGATTTTTTTATTTTATTTATGTATTTTTAAGATAGTTGTTTGCATTTTATCAAATATGTTTTAATTTCTAATTCTTAATTTCCTTGATGACTGTTTTTGATCTGTCATTATAAAGTTTATATTGAAATTTTATATGCAATATGTAGTATATGAAATGTAATATTTTGAAATGAATTGTAATGAATGAAATGTATATTATTGTAGTTTTATGTAAGTTTAATGATCAATTTCAACTAATATATTTCAAATAAATTTGATTTAAGCTTCGATTATAAACCTACTTTTCAGTTTTATCCTAATTTCTTTTCTCATGACCAATATATTGTAAAGCGTTATTGAAGCCTGGCGATATTGAATATAAAATACTCTTTGTTATTATTATCATTATTAACAACCAATGTAAAACAAAAGAAAACAATGGAATTAGTGTCCACTACCATTTATTACAATGACTTTTCTTACACTGGCAAAGTAAAATCACCCTATTACAGATGCTGCTTTCCAATTAGCTGTGTTACCACAGTACATAGAAAAAATCCCATCGCCCAAAATTTAACAATTCAAGAAATATATGGTTTTGGGGTCGAAATTTGATTGGCTAATGTTATGAGAAACTTGGGATCCTTTAAGACTTAGCCTGTGATTGGCTGGAAAACAATAGGTTACATAGTCATTGCATTATTTAGTTATCAATTAGACAACAGAAAGTTGTGCGCCCATGGGCGACTTTCTGTTGTCTAATTGATTCACAATACAGAAGTTGAACCATGCAGTCTATGGTGAAATAGTTCATAGGTTTTCAACCAATCAGAGCACGCATKATATCACTCATCTTGCTCGTGCATGCGCTATTGATGCCATCAGATTTGAAAATTTAGAGTGCACGAGCGTGCAGCCAATGGGGAAATAGTTCCTTGCTTTTTGGCCAATCAGAACATGCGTAATAATCTAGTTATATAATAATGACTAACAGTTAATGTAAAACAAAAGAAAACAACAGAATTTGTGTCTACTATTTATTATGTTGACTATTTTTTACTCGGGTGAAATATAATCTTTCTGTTAATTCATTTTGGAATTCAGATTCTTTTTTTGCTTTGAAACATAATGTAACATTACTTGATAGTAGTCTAAATGACAGGCCTAGGATTATTGCACTTAGAAATTGGATCTCTTGGCAGCACTTAGTGTTTTATATTTTTTAAATTACAGACCACAGATGCCTTTTCTTGGCTTCTGGCTATCATGAAAATTGACAGCTAGTCTCATTTGAATAGACCATTTTCAAGTTCCAAATTACCACTGTTTCTTGATTACAGACTCATTTATATTGCAGGCTTATCCTCGATTATTGCTGAATATTCACATGTTCCAGTCAAGGTCCGTCAATATTTCAAAGTGTTTGTGTTAAAGTTATGAACTTTACTTTACCATTGGTATAAATTATGTGAATATTTAGACACTGATAAGAGGCTAACCCTGTATAAATGAGTCTGTAACCATCATGGAACACTGGTAATTTGGAACTCAAAACTGACCAGTCAATTGAGTGAATCTTTTTACAATGTACTTTATAAGGCCAAGACATCCCACAGGTGACCCAAGTGTAGAGTTAACAAGGCAAAGCTGAAAAAAACTATTATTCACTTCTTACATAGAATTTTTTTCAAAACACTTGTTCCTGCAGGCCTTTTCTTTTATTCCTCAAGTAAAACACAGGGTTCTGTGCCTGGATATTCAGGAAGACTAAGTTGGTATTTCTCTAATAATGTTTCTGGCACAAATCTACCTCCTAAGTAATGATAGCTTCCTTTGAAGTGCTTTGCACAAAGTTTAGGTGCAGTGAGTGAAATAAGAAAATCTGGCTGTAGTCCTTCTGGGTTACCTTTTTCCACATCCCAACCTAAAAGAAAAAAATTTAAAAAAAAAGGTTATTTTTGGTGTGAAATGCAATCGTCCATGTAAGTGTAGTCTTGAGTAACTGTTGTTGGTGGTGACTGACATTTCGACAACCAGAGGGGAAGTCATCTTCAGAGTCCAGTGAGAAAATAAGACAGTCGATGGTATTTATACCTCTTTTACTCTTATGTTTATTTTGTATGTTGTTGTTGACAACTCACAGGGGTAATCCCTCTGTTCTCTCAAGCAAGAGGCCCATTTTATAAATAACTGAGTTCTTTCTTCTTTCGCACACTCTGATTGGTCAAAATACCATTTCATTCAGGAGTATTAAGAAGGCTTATATCATTTTTTTCAACATGCACTCTCTGACTTTGAACTTTCATAGGGAAAATAAAGCAGTAATTTTCGTTTATTTGTTTAAAAAAAGGAGATATAAAACAGTTTTCAGTTTTAGATACTTACACTTGCACTACTGAAGATGATGATTGTTTTGCTGGGTCAAAGCAAATGATTTATTATGATTTATGATTTATATAGTGCCTTTTCCTTATGGGTATAATGAAAGGCACTTACATTGAGCTGTAAATGAGAACCGTGAATTGCTTCCAATTTACAAGCATGAGAGATGGTTAGTATGAGGTGTAGGCACTGAGGGTGGTCACTGCCAGGGATTCTTTACATCCTCAGTGGTTCTTTTACTTCCGTCTAATGTTGGTAAGCAATGACGAAGTGTGGAGAGACGGGACCGTCATTTAAAGTGGTCACCCAAGCCACTTGAAAGTCTAAACATTTGCAGATGCAATTACAAAGGCAGCATTTCTCCTCAGTTATTTTAAGACCCTGAGTGCTGGTCCGGCTGGGACTCGAACCACGACCTCCCACATGAAAGTCCAATGCTCAACCAACTGAGCCAACCGGTTGGCGGTATTCAGTAAAACCATAAGTATACGAACTCTCATGTATCCTCTTAATATTTTTTATCATTCTCATTAAATCTACTTTATAGGACTTACCTGATGGCACATCAACAGCACAAAGTGGAACTTTGACTTCCTTCAGTGTTTTCAGCACCTGATCAAAGGGTGCTCGAACATCGCCTTTAAAACTGAACCCAAAAATTGCATCCACAATAAATTTGTACTGTGAATCAATATCCGTAGAAGAGGGAAGTGCAGACAGAAATGTAATATTCATCTTTTGGCATTGAGTTACGAGGTTGTTCATCAGTGGCTTGTTGGGTCTTTTTGGATAGAAAATGACTGGCTCATAGCCCTGAAATAAAAGATCAAGTATCAGTAAATCTATATCATTATATTGAGTGAACCACCCCCGTTCTCTTGGGGGGGGGGGGGGGGGCAAACCAAAAGGTTACACACTCCACAAAAGTTCTTTTTCAATGACTTTCTCTCCCCTCTGAAGTGCTTGTCCTCCCTCTGATAAAAAACATCCTCCTTCTCCTCCTAAGCCTGTACACCCCTCGTGGGGTATAGGCCATCAGCAACATCTGAACGCCACAGAGCCTTGCCCCTCGCCTTGTCCTCTAGCTGTTTCCAGGTACTGTATGCTCTAGCCTCTCTAAGTCTTTCTAGCTTCTCTAAATTGAATAAATCTTTGGTCTTAGACTTCAATATAGAGTTTTGCATGCTGTAATTATTAGTTTGAGTGACCAGTGATCATAAGATGATAATCACTGACCATCATAAGCAGAATTACATTGTAAAATGACCAAAGTGGAAAGACTCAAGCATCTACAGTAGTAGGGGACTTACAAACAACTTGAGATGTCTTGCAGCTACTAGACCATCTCCTCCATTATTTCCTGGTCCACTGCAGACTAGTATTTTGTCACTGCCTTCTTGTTTAGGATACGTCTTAGCTAGAGCTACAGCAACACTCAATCCTGCTAGCTCCATGAGCTGGTCAACACTGAAAGCATATTCGTTGAACAATTCCTGGTCGATATTTTGAGCTTCAGTTTGATTAAGATACTTCATGCTTCTGAGTGAAATAAGATTACGGGTTGATATGAAGGGGATCCTTGCGTATTTTTCCAGCGATCGCAGTAAAATAAACATCAGAACAGAAGAAAACACGACAATAAAATAGTTCAAACCCGTTTGCATCTGAAATACTCAGGGGACCCCCCTAAGCAAKACTAGAAGAATGCTCCATACCACAGGCAACCCAGCATAACGGATGGCAAAATATCAAGCCAACGGTGTCATTTGAATTTGAAAATCGTGTATAAATATATTTGAAAACGAAGCAACAGATATAGAGGATATCACATGGGCGCGCGGAGATACGAAATTTATCTTCGAGTGTTGAAAAGATCTCTCACAAGTGAGCGCGGTCTGTTTATTATATAATTATCAATGAAAGTATGTTTTGGCTTTTTCAGGCAACTCTCTCCGTGCATTTTTGAATAGCCATCGCTATGGTGTTATTTTATTTTAAATAACATGTTATTTTCACGTGTGAAGATATCAATTTTTCTAAATAGAAAAAAATAGATATTTCATTGGTAATTATATAATAAATATAAACTATATTCTTTAACAAAATATTATGTAATGTTTTAAAAACCAGAGATAACCGGTGTCTCTAATTTTCAAACTATGGGGTCCCTGTCCCTGTCCCGTCATGCTCTGCTTCATATCATGTGTCGCCTCATGCAGTAAGGAGCGTTGGTTGACGTGGATTTTTTTTGCCGTTTTTGAGCACTAAAAAAAGCTTCTAAAGACATCGAAATATCGTAAGTAAAGATCAATTAATTACTTTAAATACTTCTTTTAGAATGATATGCGAACTATATCTGATATCGCTGGGAACCAAGCACAAAATAGCTTACTTTCTTACTTCATGGAAAATGCGCGGGTAGACTCTTCCACAGTCTCTCGCTCGTCCGTACCGTCTCCACGCTTAGAGACTGTAATGCTACAATGACCGAAAGGACTTATGGGTCCCGAAAACTTGGACCCAGCGTGCTTTGGGAACCAAAATACTCGTCCACAGTCTCTCTCGTTTTCGCCGCCATCTTGAAAATATTGAAACGAGAGAGACTGTGGACGAGTATTTTGGTTCCCAAAGCACGCTGGGTCCAAGTTTTCGGGACCCATAAGTCCTTTCGGTCATTGTACCGTTACAGTCTCTAAGCCTGGAGACGGAACGGACGAGCGAGAGACTGTGGAAGAGTCTAAATGCGCGGGTAGACTCATCCAGAGGTTATTTCTCTACTATCCGTCGTATGCTTTTTTAACGGGAAGTCACGAATAAGATATCGTATTTGAGCACGCCAGCCCAACAAACCAGCAGTGTTGTGATGAATGTAGTATCACAACGAGACTATCTGGTCGAGCTTCGGATAATTTGCTAAGAAATTTACTACAAATATTCGAGAGATCACTACATTGAAGTGAAGAATTCACAGTAAGACTTTCAAAGAAAAAAATCAAAATCACCTCCAAAGTTTCCTCCGCGGTTGGTGAGCAGCTGCTGGTTGTTCAACATCCTGTTGGACCGGGATATTCTGATTAGCGGGTACTTCTTCTGCAACATTTTCTTCCACTGGACGTTGCTCTGCCATTTGTATTTCCACGTGGGTCGTAGTAGAGAACTAAAGAGTCAGTCAGCTCGTTCCGCTGGCAAAACTAAGCAAGAATGAGTTTTTAAACTTTGATATCTTGTAAGTCATATATCATAGTTTGTGTAATTGAATTAATTTGAAAATAAAACGAGAGAAACGCACAGAATTTGTTTTTTTCTTAATTTTAATATTTCCTTATAACTTTGATTTTTTTATTATTATTATTTCAAAACAAAGCTAACTATCATAAGCTTCAATTGCCCTAATTCACTATGACGTCACATCAAAACAATCTTCAACAATCTATTGTTTAAACGCAAAGGATCATAGTAGTCGGACGGGGTCAAATCAACGCAAATTCACCGAAAATTGTTCTAAAACCCGTATCAATCCACGAAGATAAGTAGAATAGCCAGCAAACGCTCAGAATATTTTTTAGTACATACTAGCATATATTATATTTGAAAACCAGGCCATTTTAGATTAAACTGTTTCGCTAGGAGCAAATTTTGTTGAATTTCTATTGGATTTGACGATTCTATCCCCCACATAAACAAACAGTGACGTCATAGTTAATTAGGACAATTATTGTCTAATATGTGATGAAAGTTTTATGATAGTCAAATAAAAGCAACATTATAAACGAAGCGAATAAAGAAGCTTGATGTGGTCGGCTATAAATTGTACAATCCAACCACCTTAACCAAAATGCCTCTTACTGTACATTAATCTCTCATTGTCTTACGAAACGTAACAACTTATTTTCACTTTGGCTTCAAGATTATTAGAGACTCAGGCCCCGTCCACACTATGCCGGATAAATTTGAATCCGCAACTTTCACACCGAAAAAAAAGTTTTCCGTCCACACTAAAACGGATAAAATGTTTGGCGTCCACTATAGTCCGATCAGAGGCGGCAAAAACGCTTCATTGCACATCTGAGCATGTGCGTCGAAGCTGAAATTGAGCCCGCGGTGAATTTTTAGCCTTCCCGCCATGTTCCCATGACAATCATGACGTCGTCGTGTCATCGATGATACGAAATGTTCACCGTCCTAATACGGCTAGCCGGCATTTTTAAATTGTTCCACTCTGGAGACCGTATTCGAAAAAATTCGTTTTCGGTGAAAAGTCGTTCCGGATTCGCCCGGACTTCGCCAGGACTAGTGTGGACGGTAGGCCAAACCGAATATATAAAAATTCGGATTCAAATTTATTTATTTATTTATTTTATCTATTTATTTATCAGGCTTAAACCACATAAACAATTAGTGGTATGGTCCGTACAACAGAGCATGACTCCAAATAAAGTACGATCACAATATGATCACATAATAAGTGGAATAATATTACAAATGGCGTATGTTACGATGACGGATATAATAGTTGATAGTGTGATAATAATGATAATGACTGAAGAATTAGTGATTTTATAATCAACTTGATGTAAATAAGAAAAAGATATGAGAATAGAATCATATGATATATTGAGACATATCATAATGATATGCTAAGTAAAGTTCAGTAGCAACATAATGGTTTGCTAGTAATGTCATTCGTAGTACAGCATTTAGGGCAGATTGATTTCTATGTCTTATGCAGTAAGTGTTCAACAGACGAGCAAAGTAACGGCTATGAAGAGCAGTCTTGAAACTTGAAACAGAATCTAAAGATTTGATGTYGGCAGGCARTTGATCCCATATTCTGGGCAATCTATTGAAGTATGAGTTCTGGAATTGTTTAGTTCTAGTTTGAGGAACAAAAAGGTCCATCTTGCAGTTGTTTCTTGTGGAGCGGGAGGCATTTCTAGGCTTTACGTAGTCATCAACATAGTGTGGACGGGGCCTCAGCTAATAACAGTGCCATCCAGGTACCCTAGTCTACCCTGCCCTGAGGGTCTTGTTATGTTGTGTCTGAAAGCATGAGGGTTTTGATCCGTGCAGGTATCCTAGTCTACCCTGCCCTGAGGGTCTTGTTATGTTGTGTCTGAAAGCATGAGGGTTTTGATCCGTGCACTGCGGCATTTCTTTTGAGTTGCGTTAATTGGATTAGCGTTCAAGCCTCACTGATTGACGTTATCAGCTAGTCTACATGTAAGAAATAGTACATTATCCATCCTGCTTACTCATTAGCATTAATTAAGGTATGGTGAGTTACCCCTAACGAGCAGGCTTGTAGGGAGAAGCCTATGAGTAAGCAGGTAGGGTGGGTGGGAGGGGCGACTTCTCCCCAACTTGGTTCGCGCCAAGTGACACATCTACATAATTTATGCTACCTTATATAATACCCATTACGTCATCAGGATGGCTAATGAATATTCATGAAATTAGAATAGTACATATATAATACTCCAATACTCGATACCGAATAAAAAAGTCTGTCTGTCTGTCTGTCATTATCCATCCTGCTTACTCATTAGCATTAAAGTATGGAGAGTCACCCCTGTCCTCGCAGCACCATGGCGACAAGCCATAACATACTAACCATGAACAACACTGTACTCAATTCCTATTTAAATCCCAACCTTATCCCAACCTTATGGGTTTAATATCTGAAACCCTATTCTTTAGGTTTTAGAACCAAGATACTGACAAAATCCAAACCTATTAGCATGACATCCTAAAATCCCCAACCTTATTATAATAACACACCCAAACATACTCTCTGATTCCAATTACTATTCGTTTGACATCAGCGACCATATCCCCAGGAATATTGGTCATATATTCTTCCTAAACTTGGGTCTCAATCAGCTAATCCAATTTATTTCATTCTTTGCACCACGACGCTCTAAACGCACCGAGTCAGAACAAGGTCTGGTGAATAACTAGGAACGTAAAAGAAAAGGAAGATCGAAATCCGGCGAAGACAWTAAACATGAAAACCCCAAGCCCAAGAAGATGACCACTGAATAACTCGCTGATGCAGGCTCAAGGGTATGCCCTAAAGGACAAAGCACTTGTCGTGGACGTATTCTTGCACTTAATTAGCCTAAATAAATAGATTTCCAAGACTAAACAACAGAAATTAATACATAGTATAAAATTGATTGATTGATTCATATCATTAATGTCAACTTCCATTTCCATTTCCGTTCGAAGTGCTAGTCGTTTTCCTTTATCAATCATAATAATTCCAATTAGCGTTTAACAGCTTGGTTATGTGGGCAAAACCGAGCGATATGCCCTTCCTGATAACGAATGAGACATGTTCTAGGACCACGAGCACGTCGGTATGGAGCATATGAACGCGTTCGCCCAGCAGCAGGGAAACTCTAATATAACTTAAACACTCAACTCCATTAACTCTAATATCAAGATATAACTAGCTAAAAACTAGTGTGAGCTGCGTCGGTGTTTCTAATGAAACAGTAATGATGAAAAGGTAAATTATACACCGTGAAAAGATGAAAA